GTACAGTTATGGGGGGGGGGGGGCCTTCATAGTTTGTTAAGTGTTATTGGTTCATCCTCCTAATATGAAATTTTTCCTGGTATGTTTTATTGTTTTCCTCAGCCAAAGGAAAAAGAAAAGTCACTGAAGCCTCAAGTGATGCTCCACAGCCAGGAATCGACCTGGTAAGAAAGGAATCATTAACTAGTTTGGAATCTTCCCAAACAGTGGAGTGCAGTGAATTTCAAAGTATGGCTTTCTTGCAGTCTTTGGGTAAGGAAGGTTGGCTGGAAGGTATTAAGAGAAGAATTCGAATTAAAAAATGTAAAAGCGTAGAAAGCTCACCTCTCAAAATAACTGAAAATGAGGCAACACAAAATATTAAGGTTGAATTCCAAGAAGAACTGTACAAGAATGCTCCAAAATATACATGTAATGGCTTGTCTCCTGGAGTAGAAAGTAATTCCATTTTAAAATTACATGATTGCAATTGTTTCCCCCATTCCAAGGGTTGTAATGATGAAAACAACTTTGCATATAAACCCAATGGTGGATGTATTCATGTAGCAGAAAATTCCTCAAAGTTAAAGAAAGAAAACCTTAAGAGTCTGGCAGAAAAGAGTGACCTAAATAGTATTCCTCAGTTCTTACAAACTGAAGAAAATTTAGTGGAAATAAACAAGTTACTGCTTGAAGAAAGTGATGTATACAAAAATAATGGCTTGCTTTCCTGCCTTCAAAGTGAAAAACATAAATATTCAACAGAGGAGAGTAATGTTGGAAGAAAACCCAGAAAGAGGATGAGGTTGTCTGAAAAAGGAAATGAAATGGTCATTGAGATGAATTTCTCTAATGTGTGTAACAAGTCTGAGCTCTTGCTGCAAGAAAACCAAATGGGTGGCGAAGGTAAAGAAACAGAGACTTTAGAGGCTAAGAGAAGTCCTCTAAAAGTTTTGAGGAAAGCAAACCATGACACACTCTCTCCAATGGATCATTTATTTAGTGTCCCAGAAACAGTAGGGAAAAAAAAAAGTCCTGGCCATCACGTTAATGCCATGTTTCAAAAAACCCGTGAGACGTTGTTGAAAGAACAAACAAAGAGTGCCTCAGAGCTCCTAGGATGTAAAAACAAAGAGCCAGAAGAGTGCTTGAGGTTGATGAAAAGTTCCATAGCGAAATCATCTAGTGACTGCCATCAGGTTGAAAAAAGGTCTTCACGGGAAGACTTGAGAAAGGAAGCCGAAGAAGCAAAGTTAAGCTGTCACAGAACAATACCAATGACTGGCAAACGGACTTGGCCTTATTATTCATGTGCTAGAGTATCTGCCTATTGTTGGAGAAAGTCTGCTTTGTCCAAATCAGATTTTCTTCTTGGGTCTCAGGAAAGTTTTAAACAAGATGATTTTCTTAAACATCAAACAGACCAGACTTATGTAACTGATGCCAGATTATTGTCACAAAGTTCCTTAGCAGAAGCAAACTTTGACTCCTCTGGTACAGAAAAATTAAATTTGATAAATAGTCTGTCTTCAGTGTCTGCAGTAGAACCAGCCCTAATGGTTATGAAGGAACCTATAATCAATGATGATGAAAAGGTAAAGTCTGAAGAACCAAGCCTAAGTGGGTCAGAGGTAGTTTCTAGTACTACTGAAGATATTCAGCTAGGAAACGCGACTCAAAGCTTAACAGGAAGTAAAAAAAGAGATAGAGGGAATTTAACAAAACTTAAGTTGACAATGGCTTCCCAGGATGGCCAGGAAGCAAGTAGCTCTATGGGCAAAAGTATTCATCGAAAAGCGTGCGTTGCTAAGCCAACATTTGTGGATCCAGACTTGGTTAAAATACTGAACACAGGACGGCTGGCTAATTTTAAAATTCCTTTACTTAAGAATAAGACAGAAAAAGGAAAAGTAAATGCTAAGTCATCAGAGAGAGATGCTTATAGCCCCTTAGAACTTCTTGACAGCTTACCCGGAGCAGATGTAAGACAGAGCAGGAGTAAAGAAAATGTCTCCATGGCAACTTCAGGACCCCAATCTTTGAGCAAATCCTGTAGCATTTCTCCAGGCTTTACCAAGCAAGGTAATGATAACAAACCATCTAAGCACATCTCTGAACCAGGCAATGTTATTTCTAATAAAAAAGCTGTTTCTCTCACACTTGAAGATAATACTTGTGACCCTGGGTATATAGAGAAAAGTCTTTCCTTCTGCTCTAATGGACAAGCGACATTCAAATCAGTTTCCTCTGAAGTTGGCAAAAAAATGACAAAGAGCTTCTCAGAACTCAAAGTCGGGTTTCCAGATATTCTTAAAGCATATGAAGATGATGTCCTTTTAATTGATGTCATTCAGGATGACCCAGATCTCTTTGGAGTCTCCTGTGATGGGGAGCTCTCATTTACCTCAGAGGTCCCCATAATAAGCCAGGAGCCCATTGTTGCTGAAGAGCACCAATCAACAGACTCCAAGCACATGGAACTTCCGGGGGGAAATGAACCAAGCTATGATTCAAGGTATGCATGTTCAAGTATGCCTTTTGATACAGATTATTTTGGGGGGTTTCAAAGGCACACTCTGCTCTTAGGTGTCAATCTATTCAGTGTTCATTTTTTAAACTGAGTTATTAACTGTAATATAGCATATTACTTCTGATACCTGGAAATGTCATTATGCTGAAATTTAGAGTTGAAATAAAGGATTATACATATCTTGAAACATATAAAAGAACAGATTAGCTGTTCAGAAAATGAAACGACTTTTTTAAATTATGGAGATTGGTTTTTTTCACAAGTCAACTACATTTATTTTCATGTGTTCTATAAATTTTATAAATATCAGATAAACTTATTTCAGCCAGGTTACGCTGATAAAATATCAATACTATATATTTTGACCCTTTTCTGTGGCTTCTTGTTAGATAAAAATTTATTTTGGGAGGAACAGAGAAGCCTTAGAAATTTTCATTAGGAGTAATGAGGGCTTGAAAATAGAATCAGAAATTAAACTTACTTTCAGAAGGAAAAAGCATAACATTTTGTGTGGTTTTACTTTAAAGATGGTGGTTTTAAATGATGATTTGTTCCCAGATAAGACCAATTTGTCTGAGGCTATTTTAAATGGAGCCAAATAGTAAACTTCATGTTTATGAACTTAATTTATTCTGGTGGGCACAAAATTTATTTAATATTAAGTCATATTTTACTAAACTTTTTTAGTTCTTCCAGATTTAAATTTGTATGTTACAGTATTTGAATATTGGAATGGTGTGTGAACAGATTCATATGAAGGCACTTTCCAGTAAGACCCAGTGATACATGACTTAAATTTCTCTGGTTTTTACGGATTTTTAGTTTAGTTACCTTTGGGATATCATCCTCTTCTTAATATTCTAAGTGCTACTAGAACTTACCACCAGATAGAATTATTTCTGGGTGCCAAGTGGAGGAACTTTATTTATTTATTCTATGCAAAAATGCATCATGACTTTTCCGGTGACCCAGTTGTTTAACAATGTAATGAGGTAGGATGTTAATTTGCCCATTTTGAAGATAGGGACAAAATGTCACCTGCCCAAGATCACACTGCTAGTAACAGTCTGTATTTGAACCAAGCCTGTCTTACTCTAAAACTGGTGATGAAAAGTTTGACTTTTATAGTCTGACCCAGGTTTTGAGCCTTTGCTACCCAGAAGTTCTGTGACCTTTTAAGCAAATTCTTTCAATTTATCTTAAAAAGGGAAAGTACTTGCCTCAGGGTTGTGAGGGTTAGATCAAAGAATGGCTGTAAAAAGTTTTCACATGGCACTCTGAGTACAAGGTAAGAGTAAAAAAGTAAGAAGTAGTTGTCGACCTTTTTTTAAATTGTTATATCATGGTTCCTTTGAGGAACCTAAAGGAAAGTTAAACAAATCCTTCATTCAAGAGCAAACATCTCTGTTGGCTAGTAAGATGTTAACAGAGAGCTCCAGCCAACGGTGGAAAGAGATAAATGTAAATTAAAGTACAGAAAGGTTGAGCTTTATCCTTTAAAAAAAGAAGAAGAAGAAGAAGAAGAATAGCTGGTTCTATAATGGCACCTGCCTTTCATATAAAGTAAAAAAGGGGAAACATTTTTACCACCCAAAACAGTAAATCATTATTTGTCTGTATCATCCCAGATATCCCTCCATGCATGTGTATGAATATAATAGAAAAACTGGAGTATGCCATTTTTCTGTAAAAAATAATAATTTTATTTGTACTTAACTAGAAGGGGTGGGGAAACTGAAGTGAAACTAAAAGGGTTGCTGAATCAGTAAACTGCTTTTTTGGGGGGAGGAGCTAAAGTGAAACTAAGGCATTGCTGAGTCAGTAAACTTTATGGTGGTGCCAATTTTAGATACTTTTGTTTAAGACATTGCTTCTGACATTTTCCTATTTTTTTTTAAGAGATTTTTGCTATAGGGCGCATTTGCTCACCAGAAAGACAGAGAGAGAGAGACAGGAAGTGAGAAATCACCCCCCCAAGGGGGTTGGCCACACCAAAATCCCTTCTCCTCCATTCTCCTTTCAGAATCTTGGACACACACATGTGAGTGTAGGGCCAGGACTCTTAACCACGGTCAACTACGTGGAAGTCCAGTGATGTAATTGTCATACCATCGGCTGGTCCCAAGACATTGTGCTTTCTACTTACAATATAGTGCTTATAAATTTTCTTAAAATTCCTGTGCACACATTCCATATTCAAATATTGAAAATGCCCGGTACTATTAACTGTAGTACCTAAACTTTAACACTGTCATGGAATTCACTACAAATTGGGGTCCATCAGTGTTTAACTGTGTGGAACAGTGCTACCTCATCTCTACTTGAGTTGACTTAATTGAATCAGTAAGCTTCTTTAATACAAGAACTTAGTTCCTAAAAGTTTTCTCTCAAGTTAGTAAGGAAGACGATTTAAATATTTGCTTAATCTTGACTTTGAAAATTCAGCTCCATCTTTAGAGAGCAGCGTTTGCTTTCCTGACACAAAAGGTGAACATACCATCGCCATCACTTTCTGTCTTGCCCCTCATGTTTTGGTAAATTTCTAGTTTATATAGTTAAGCCTTGTGCCACCTACATTTTCTTCAATAATCTTAATTTCCTAAGATTTTTATATTTAGTTCCTTATTTAAATTGATTTTGTCCTTCTACCATTTTATTTCCTTAGTCTTTCTATTTTGCTTCACCTTTTAGCCGGCTAAATTTTGGAGTGATTTTTTGTTTGTTGGTTTTATTTTTAAGAAAAGCTCATGACTGTTGTGTTCCCTCAGGTCTAGGGTACATAAGAATGACTTGTGTAAGAGCACATTTCCCGGATATAAAATTTTTAGTTTATAGTTTCCCTCCTCACGACTCTGTAGACTCTGCTCCCCTGCTTTCTGGCTTTAAGTGTTGTGGTGGAAACCCTGAGGCCGAACCAGTACTCCCACTGCTCCTCTTTAAACTGCCTTTTCCCCTGTTCTTGCTTTGCACTTTGGAATTGGTCATTTTGTATATGTGTGTATACACACACACACACACACACACACACACACACACAGACATATATAAAAAGAAATTATGTAATTAGACCAATAGGACATGGCAGCTTCGGAGAGAAGTGACTTTGAGACAGGTTTAGGAGGTAAAGCCTGAGTAAACAGAGGTCAACGCGGCAGTGAGAAGCTGAGGGTGATAACTGGCTTTGCTCATCCCAGAGAAGGAAGGGCATTGCCAGTCCTCTCTGCTGCAAAGGAGCAGGATCTGTTTCAGACCTTTCTGTTTCATAGCATCACATTTTTGCTTTCGATAATGTTTGTGTTCTTTGAACTTCATTTCCCTTCGCTTCAAAAGCACCAATTTATACTTTTGTTGGCTCTTCTTTACCTTTCATATCTACTTCTGAAGTTTCATTTTTATTTTTCCTTTTTTAATTTGCCATAGAGCATGTGCATTTGCCAGAGAGAGAGAGAGGAAAAGTGAAAATGTGCCCCCAGGAGAGATGGCTACCCCACAAGCCCTTCTCCTCCATTCTCTTCTCAGGATTTTGGGCATGCATGCACAAGTGCCCAGCATGTTTTCCAGGCTGCCCGGTCCAGGACCCAAAACGTGCAGTCAGCCATGTGGGATCCAGCCACCTACCTTAACCACCATGCCACTGGCTGACCCCGAAGTTTCACTTTTAAAGTAAATTTGAAAAGTTTCTCAGTAATTAATTTTAATTTTTTTCTGTACTGGAAATAAGTTTTCAGACAGCTGCACTGCTAGAATAAACCTTTGTGAAAATGAAGGCTTGATAATCAGAAGATAGGTCAGTAGTTTTCACAAAGAGTTATTAGTAGTTCCAGAATGAAATTAAGATTTAAAGACTGAAACCGATTGTCTTCCTTTTAGAGTGCTGGTAACATATAATGTACATGCGTAAGTGTATACGTCAGACGCCGCCTTGTATTGGTATAATACTCGAAGCTTTTTAAGTGCTCGGCATGGCCGTGAGGCTCTCTGAGGAGCAGGGTTTGGGTGGCCGTGCTCCTTCGTAACTGAGGCACGTGCGATCAGGTGCTAGAGAGGGAACTGTGGGCACGCTGCGTTTGGAGTCCCAGGGCAGTTCCTGTCCTAGAGAACTTCCGCTGATGTTTACCCGCTGCTGAAGTTAGTAGTATAGACTTTTTAGAAAAGCGGCTGGTTCCACGTCGAATCTGCTATAATGTTTAAGCTCTTTTTGCTTCATAATAGAGAACTTCCTGAACTGGGTCCTGGACTGACGAAGTCAAAGATCTGTGCTCCCTTGTCAGCAGGTAAAGTTGGACATTTTCAAAATATGCAGCCCTCAAGTATGTTTTTGTATCTTCGTTCAGGTCTAGTCACATGACCTGATTACTCGAGGAAGAGTCTAGTCACATGACCTGATTACTCGAGGAAGAGTCTAGTCACATGACCTGATTACTCGAGGAAGACTGTCATTTTTAAGTGTGTTTCACTGTTTTACAGTTTGTCCGTTTTTCTGTTTTCATTAAATGGTTGGCAGATCAGATGTTGAGATATTTTCCATTTGATTATTGAATACGTAACTTGTTAGTCTTCTCTACAAAGGATAGGTAAGTGACCTCAGCAGTTTTTGTAACTCTATTTTACAATTTAAATATGTACTTAAGCTTTATCACATTTTAAGTCTGGGTCTTCGGTATGTACGTGTATGCATGGTGGGGTTTTGTTTTGTTTTTAAGAAAAGGTCTGACTAGGTTACCCCCTCCCACCTTAGCCTCCCAGGTCGATGGGACACAGGTGCACGCACCAGCTTAGCTCCTCCAGACAGGGTCCCCTGTGTTGCCCATGCCAGCAGCAAGGGCATGATCCTCCTGCCTCCACCGCCTGAGTCTCTGGGTTCAGGTCCGGGCCCTGCACCTGACTTCCCCCATGGCCTCCCAGGGGGCCTCAGCCTGCTGCTGCTACCAGACCTGGGCCGTGAATCTGATTTGCTGTTTATAACTAACAGCTAATTTTAAATACCTGAATCTTTACTTCACAGGCCTTAACTTAATATGAAAGTTAATTTTATTTTGGCTTTCAAATTTAAAAAATATATTTAAAATAACAAGTTGGTCCAAGTCTCCGGGCCTGTGGCATCCTTCCCACCCCTCCTCTTGCCACCCCTAGTGGCACATGTTCCTCAAGAATTTTGAATCAAATGCCCTAAAGTTTGCTACACACGATGAAGAATCTGACCTGGATGCAGTTGGTGTGAAAAGGAAATGGAACCAGAAGAAAATACATGACTTAACATCAAGCGTTGGAACTCCAGCACATGCTTGAAGCTCTGTCTACAAGAGTAGATGCAGTTACGGAAAAAAAAAAAAACTCAA